ACCGCGCTCAGCCAGTGAGCGGGAACCGGTCTCCACATGGGATCCGAACCCTCGGCAGGAGTGCCGCCGCGCTCCCAGGTGACGCACTCTCCAGTGCGCCACCGGGCCAGCCCAGAATTTACTTCTTTTCCTTTAACAACACCACAGTTTGAAGAATCTGTTCTTTAAGTTGTCTTCAAGTTTAGTATAGCAATGTTCAGAGCGGGTTTTGCAGGCTTTGAGAAGGACATCTGATAGGGAGTGCGCACCATGGGAGGCACATCTTTGTTTTATTTTGAGATTTATAGACCAATAGGAAGATGAGAAGGTTCACATTAGAGCAATGTCTCTTGCTTTTCCCTGGCAAAAAATACTAAAATTAAGTGAGAACACTGTCTACAGTGACATCTAATAGCAAGAGGAAAGGTTCTAAAAAGTAAATAACTGATATATCCCAAATGGGGAACTTGCCTTAGCTCAATAGCTAATTTTATAGTTCTTATGTATCCAGAAGCAATGGCTAGTTTTGCATATTCTAATGAACGATATAAGACGATTCTTTTCCAAAATCCTTTTCTTGTAAAACAAAAACAAAAACAAAACCTCAAAATTTCTGTTTTTCCAAAGACTCTTGTAAAGGGCACACATTTCCTGCCTAGTCTTTACCAGATCTGCTCCCTCATCCACATTCTCATTCCAAAAACACTCCCTGAGCATGAGGACCTGGCATGTAAAGTCTATAGCACTAGTAACAGGGCTCTGCAGTTACACAGAGACCAAAATAGCTGCAATACATAAATTAAGGAGATGGAGATGTCCACAAAACTAGTGTCAATCTGCCTCCTCTCTAATTTATCTTACCTTGCATTTGTCACTTTAATCCCTATGCTAATAGCTGTCAAGGTATATTTCTATCATTTTTTTTCTTATTTCCACTATAAAGTAAAACAACAGATTTTAAAACTGGTGAATATAATAAAATCCTACTAACAATGAAGTTGTTTATTAGATTATACTTAATGGCACATAAATACCATTTTGTCACCCTATTTTCCTATGACACTGTGACGTGACCCTCATCTCAGGGTCCCACTGATATGCCCAAGATGTTTTCATTGAGCTCTTTGGGCAGCTGAAAGTATCCACTAATAGACCCACACGATCCAACCAGTCTCAGAGTGTTGCTCTCTTAAGGTAAGTTTTAAAAATTTTTTTGATCTTCTACAAAACCATGAAGTAAAAATACCTGTTCTGTTTTTTGTTTCTTTTCCCTAAGCCAGTTTATACAGTGGTCACAAATACAATATTATTTTAGGATTCCACCCACATTTTTTTTATTTATAATTTTTGTTTCTTTGGAGAGTCTCACCCATGGGGGCCACACACTGGATTGACACAGTCTGTCAGTTGTTTAGAATAACACATGCGATATGAGGCTGTTGGCCTGAAAATATAAGACTCATCACATGATGCCTAGATATTCCACAGTTGCTATAAGACCTTGTTAGTTATGTTTATAAAGTGACAACAGCCTAAATGTACCCCAAGTACACTTTTTGTTATGACTGCATCTCACTTTCTCCTATATTAACACGTTTTCCACTTCTGCTCAAACCAGTTACATATCTTCAATACGAGGAAGAAAAATGAGTGTTTTAGGATAGAAGCTTGTCTTCTTATATGGAGTTACAGAAGTCTGAAATTCTTCTCTCCACACTTTGCTAATTATAAATCTCTGGCAGAGTGATAAACTCTCCTTTCCCGGGGCCTCCATCCAGTACAAAGATGTGTACACACTATTTTTGACCAAAAGCAAGGCTTTGCTCAGGAAAACATCCCCATCTTCAAGGATATTATACATTTCCCACAAAAGAGGGCTTTGCCAAGTTAAATTCTAATTAATAAATCAGTAGAAACAGATGAACTATCGTCCCTCTCTGAGATTTTATAGAACTGCAGAAAGTATTTTCTTTTCTGAAAATATTCCAGTAAGCAGTTTGGGTCAAGAAAGAATAGTAAGCAGCCAGAAAGTATAAAAATTTCTCAGAACTAAATTAGGCTGATGTGGTTATTCTGGAATATTAAATAACACATCCCTATTATAATGTTTCAGTAAGCAGTTTGGGTCAAGAAAGAATAGTAAGCAGCCAGAAAGTATAAAAATTTCTCAAAACTAAATTAGGCTGATGTGGTTATTCTGGAATATTAAATAACACATCCCTATTATAATGTTTATCATGTTTTTCTAATACATCAAACTGGATTTTTTATTTTTTTTTAATGAATGGTTTAGATTTGGGGAAGCTGGCCAAAATGATCATGATAGAGCTTTAACACACTTACTTTTTCCACCATTCTTATATTTTATTTAAAATTAGAGTTACAACTATAATAATATTGCGAAAGAGAGAGTTGAACTGATAGGAATGTAAAACCTAACAGATAAACTATACAGCAAATGGAAGTTGAAATAACATGTATAGAAGAGGAAAAATCAATAAACGTGAATAGAAAAATGTAGACACATTAGGTCTACATGACCTAGTTTAGGTAAGGTCGAAAATACTATCCCTTGGTTAGAGTGTGGTGTTGATAACACCAAGGTCCAGGATTTGATCCCTGTTACTAGCCAACCACCACCCACAAAAAGCTATACTAAGAACTGAAAAATAAATGAGTAGATATCTTAGAGACAAGGTTTTAAGTAGCCAAGAACATCATCTGAAGTTTGCAGATGTTTTCAAAACTAAGGAAGGAAAGGGCCTAAGTAGCAAGAGCAAAGATAAGCTAAATTTGAATTCTTGTACCATTAAAAAATAAAATAAAATAAATAAGATGCAGATATTGGGTTTCTGAAATTAGGGCAGAAATGTAAAGATTTTAACAAACAGTAATTTACATTTTTTACACAGAATGAAAAATTAATGTTCAACTCCACCCTTCTTCTGTTCACCTCCAGTGTCACAGAATTACTTCTTTTCTTTGCCACTGTCTGGGTTGAATTATGTCCTCCAAAAAAGCATGTGGAAGACCTACCCCCCAGCACCTCAGAAGAGGACCTTATTTGGAAATAAGGTCCATTGAGATGTAATTAGTTAAGATAGGCTCACACTGGAGTAGGTTGGGCCCTTAATCCAATATGACTGGTGTCCTCATAGGAAGGAGGGAATTTGGACTCAGACACAGAGGCGACACATGGAGAATGCCATGTGACAATGGAGGCAGAGATGGAAGGGATACATCTACGAGCCAGCGATGGCCAAGGACTAGTGGCCTCCACCTGAAACTAGGAAGAGGCAAAGAGGATTCCGACCAGAGTCTCAGAGGGATCATGGCCCTGCTGACACCTTGGTTTTCAGCTTCTGTGACAGAATGAATTTCTTTTGCTTAAAGCCACCCGGTTTGTGGTACTTTGTTATGGCAGCCATAGGAAACTAGTACAGCTAGTATGTTTTGTTACAAATTCAGTTGAAAAATCCAACTAAAGGACAGGGGTTAGGAGAGTGATGTTGGTGCCACCAAAACCTTACCTGCAACGTAGTCACCAAATCCAATGGTTGTTAGAGTAATAACCACAAAATAAATGGCATCCAGGGCACTCCAGCCTTCTATGTGCTTAAATATGATTGCAGGCAGAGCAACAAAGAGCACACAGCCAAACAGTGTAAATATGATTGTTGAGATGATGCGGATCTTGGTCTGACTGACATTCCACTTCTAAAGACCAGAGAGAAAAAAATATATATANTGAACCTAATCTATACACTGTCTTTGGCAAATTAGAAAGTGAGCATGTTATTTTAGTCCCTCTTAAACTTAGTTTTCAATTGTCTTAAGAAAGTTGGGTATAACATAAATGCTTCAAACCAATCAAGGCTCATAATGATGCTACTTACCTTTATATAGCTTTACAACAGGTAAAATGCTTTCAAAAGTAAATTACATTTGCTCTGAGAATAATATTTCAGGTTTAAATCATTTGTTTACCCGAACTTTAGAAATATTTCTGTTCTATAAGTATACAACCAGACATAATCTAGAAATATATGAAAATACATAAAACTGAAACGATTAAATATTTAAAATTGATAATTGGTAAACATTAATTATGAAATTAATTCATGTTTCATAATTATGAAGGCTTTTTCCCATCACTCCCATCACTTTTTCCTATCTTTAATTCAATTGATTAAAGTATAATACTAAAAGATTTTATAGTCCACAGTTTGATTTCCACATGTACCAGGTGAACTGTTTTTTTGTTCTATGACCTTAAACTTTACAACCAATAAAGCTACATAACTGTAAAGATAAGTCTTCTACACCCCTAAGCCACAGCTGTGACCAGACTACCCTTTTTTTTTTTACCTCCTTCTCCAAAAAGAAATCTCCATAGCATAATGCATTAAATGAAGTTTGTATATATATAGCAGTTTATCTCTAGTTCTCTAATTGAGGTTAGTTACCATATATTTTAAATCTCTGAATAGATCTATCCTATCTACCTACTGTAAAAACCACAGGGCACATCCTATACCATATGAAAATCACTGAATATTAGAGCTTAAGAGTTTTTTAGAGATAAAGATCTGTTAAGAGAACACAGGAGTATCTCTAGCCCACCATCCTCATCTCATATGTAAAAGTTAAGTGGGTTCACGCTCGTAAAGTTTTTAGAATAGTGCTAGGCACCAAATACTGAATCACCACCACTGGAATGTCATCACCATGACAGCGTGGACTTAGTCTTATGCAACATGAAAAACATAACCCTGCATCCAGTAAGCACTTGAAAATTTGGTGAATGAATAAATGAACAATTCAGCATTACCAAATTCATGCCACTAATCTGTCTTCTTGGTCAGTATAAATACAGGATATTTTAATATCAACATAGGAAAAGTATAATACCAAAAGTCGGGTAAAATTTTTATTTTGAAATAACCATGTCTCATTTCAATCTAACAGTAAAAATGCTTGAGAGCTAACTTTGATCTTAAATCTGTAACATGACTGATGCTAAAAATGGAGCTGTAACTTAAATTGTGAAAATAATATTCAGTAGTATTTTTCATCAACTAAGTTGAATGTAAATATTTCATTGAACTTTTTGTGAAAAGATAAAGTATTACTGAAAAATAAATAAATTTATTTGTAATAGTGGTGCTAGTGGTAACACATCATTTATAATCCCACTCTCTAACACAACCATTTTTTCCCATAATTTTCTTCAAGAAGACAAGGTTATAATAAGAGGACTATTATTTTTCACTTAAAATTATAATGAAAACATTTTCATTTATTTTTTTTTTTGTATTTAATATAATACACCATGAACATCTTCATGCATACTATCTTTGGTTTACTAAATTACATTCCTGAGATACATTTCTATCAAAGGCTTTACTGAATTAATTTATATGATCACTTTTATTGTGTTTGTTATTTATTATAACATCCTTCCCAAAGGGACTATATCAGTTTTCAGTGCCACCAGCAATAAATAAGGGTACCAAAGAAATTTTTTAAATAACAAAATATTGTCAGTCATTTACTACCTATGTTAAGATTTAACTTACATCACTGCCAACCCTCAGAGTAATAGCCACAGTATCATTATTCACATTATACAAATAAGAAAATGGAGGTTTGAGAGGAAAATAACTAAAGAGAATATAGCTCTTAAATGGTACATCTGGAATTTTGAGCCTAGGACTGCTGAATTTCTACTTTTTTTCTTTACATATCTTTTAGGTTTTCTCGTGCATTAATTTATTCATTCAGATAAGTTTAAAAATAATTAAATTACAGTAATCTGCATGCCAATACAGATGCATATAAATTGTTACGGAAACCCCAACAACTAAATGTCCAACTGTATCTGAGGTGATAGAAAAGGTATAATATTTTAAAAATTAAACAATAAATATATGCAGTTAAAAGTCTACCGTACTCACAATAAATGTATCTTCTACTTTGGCAATGCCTTTTCCAAATATAGTCCCTAGTTGATCTCCAACTCCAGCCAACAGAAAACCAAAGAGGGGAATTCCCAGTAAGGCATAAATGATACAGAATATCTTTCCGCCTTCTGTGCGTGGTGAGATGTTGCCAAACCCTTAAAAAAAAAAAGTTGTTTATAAATGAGTAATAGTTCAAAAATTTGACCTCATGAATGATTCAGAATTTCTCAGATATTACAAGATACCAACCACTGATTTCCACTAGTTAAGAATGCCTTTATAACATAAACTTTTTAATATACTTTAACATAAAATACACTTATACACAAACATTTCAGTAATATACAAAGTATACCTAATGCTCCAATTAAACTTTGATAAGATGATGAAAACTGGGGTGGTAACACATGCGATAAAGCCAATATTTTTATGAAATTTACTTCTATTTCTGATACTCCTGTTTACTATAAAGCTTTCATGGTCATTTAGAATACACTGAAAAGAGTGTATTGCCTTAATTTAAGAGTATTTGAATATGCTTAAATTATTTGAAGATTGAAGTTTAGTACTGTAGCAACTTTTAAATCTTTTTATTCAAATATACACCGAGCACTAACTAAAACTTTAAATTATTGAACTTTTAAAAATTTCCAAAGATTTTGCAGGCTTTCCAGTTTTCTGCAAGGATATCTACTTGTTATGACTCGAGCAGTTTAACTTCATTTATTTTTGTAATAACAGCAGCGCTGTCTACACACTTGTCCGGGTAGAGAATGCATGCCTTCTAGAAGTACATAGAGTGCCTGTTTTGATCTGAAATCCTCTCACTGTGTTTTATATTAAATTAATTTGGAACTTTATCTTTAATTTTCTTTTACTCAAAAATGTGGACAGCTATTTTGGGATTTTTTTTTTTTCTGTTACTTTCTAGATCTATGACTATTTTAGTTAGAAATCATGGTCTGCATGATTTTTACTTTTGGGATTCTATTGAGATTTTCTTTGTGAGTTTATCATGGCAAATTTATGTATTTGTTTCACTGAAAAGAACATAGATATTTTATTTGTTAAATACATAAAGGGCAAATATATGTGGGGCAAAGAGTGGGATAATATGGGTCATTTTATCCCATACATTTTTCTCCCCAGAGTATTTCTACCTCTCTCTCCCTCCTACTCAAACAATTAGTTTGGTGTTCATTGCTGGTCAACTCATCTTCTGAGGGTTTTGTTGTTGTTGTTGTTTTAATGTACTTAATTTTCAAGAACTTTGACTTTTTTCCACGACCTGTTCTTATGCCATGAAAATGATAATTATATTCATTCCTTTGTTTTTCAATGTTGTATAATGTATTCACTCAATTCCTTGAGAAAAGCCCTACACTTTCCTTATTTGGGTGAATTCTTAAAACTTCCTGGCCGTATTGTCATACTTGCAATCACAATACAATACCAGGTTGGTTAGTGTTTGCAGCTGAAATGTATTTTCCAGCCTCAGTGAGAATCGCGGGTGACATGGTGGTGCCTGGAGAATTGTGGTTCAAGGAGCCCTGGCTGCAGTACCTGTCAGTCAGACAGAGAAGACTGGCATCTGATAGGACTTTCATACAGGTGTGCACTTCACATGACTTCCAAGAGCAGTTCTTCATGGCAGCCACCAGTTCACACATACCTTCATGCTTCTCGGGCCTGCTGCCCACTCCAGGAATATCTGTCACATCAGTCTGTCTGAAAAGCTTGTGTTCACAGCTTTACCCTGGAGGCAAAGACTGGAGACAGCTACTGCAGACAGTGGTTCCACAGAACTTTAACTAATTTACAGGCTCACTGCCCAGAGACCCATTTCTGCTTCTAATTTGGGTGACTTGATGAGGTTCCCTTAAAAATTTTTCCTTTTGAAATCCTTTGTTTTGCTTCTATGGGGGATGCGGGATCCTCAAATCAAAAAAGATTTGATTGCCACTCTGAATCTATATGCTTCATGTCATCCCCCAAATTCATTCCTGTTGTGTGTCCCTCAAAGTCCACTCCCTGCCTTAAAGCACACTATGGAATGTTTTTAAAAATTACTTTAATGTTTCTGTCACCTCCTTGCTACTTTCTGGTGATGTGAGGTAAATGCATGTTCATATCAGACAGGGAACTAAATCTAGGAATTTACCAATACCTTTTAAGATGCTAAATATTGGTTATATAATTAAAAAGCCCATAGATTTATAGTAAGATATGCAAGCACCATGGTTTTTAAAAACATTTAACTTTAAAGTCTAAAATTAACTGATGTTGGATGAAAACCTAGTAAGAGTTTAGCAATATATTATAGCCATTCGTGGATCTATCACTCATTAGTTATGTGACTTTGAGCAAAGGTCACCATGAGCACGTTCATCTGTTAAAAAGGTATATTGTTATTATGTACTCCATCAAGTTGCAAGAACTAAGTAAAGTATTACAGAATGGTACTAAGGAAAATCTATTATACTATTTGTCCCCAATGTATGTTAGACACCATAATAATTATAATTATCATTAGTAATAGTATCAGTAGAAGTAAAGATTGGAGCATCAATGTACTTAGCCCAATTCATTATGCAAACTATTTAATAGCCAACTTCATGGGGTCACAATCACACAATGTCCTCCGCTATGCTCTGAAATGTTCTGCCCAATCGTGGGTGCCATTCTTTATAAGGGACATTGGTGAAATAGTATGCAGAGAGGAAGGCAACTTTTGATGGAACAGTTGGAAGGATTGGGGGTATTTATGCTGAAGAAAAAAATACTAAAATTAGAATAAGGCAGAATAGTCGATTTCAACTACTTGAATGATTAAAACATATAAAACCTACTCTGATGCTTCCAGGCAAACAACAAAACAAATGGTGCAAGCTGCAGAAAGTGAANAACCTACTCTGATGCTTCCAGGCAAACAACAAAACAAATGGTGCAAGCTGCAGAAAGTGAACTCGTGCTAAGTAAGGTAACTGCATCCAAGAGTAAATGGCTGTAAGAGAAAGGCAGAGGCCATAATCACTTGCAGCGTGTAACATTTCAGAACAATGATCTTCTAGGTATCCTTATAACAAAGTTGCTATGATTCAATAGGTAAATGTACATGCTATATAATAAGGACAGGGTTCTCTAACATCTGCCTTCTAGTGGTTTATAATTACTCATTCATGCATTCAAAAATTTTTATGGAGCATCTACTGTTTACCAGGCACTATGCTAGAAAGTAGAGATGAAACTGTGAAATAGCAGACCTCTCAGAGCTTATAATCCAGTGAGGAACAAAGGTGGAGACTGATACACACACATGTGTGGTAAAGTGTGTGCTACAGAAAGTACAGGATGCTCTTGGAGCACACTGATTTAGGAGAGTAAGACAAGTGCACACAGAAAGTGACCCCAAAGCTGTAATCTGAAACTGAGTATAAGTTACCCAGGTAGAAGAAAGAAGTAGGGTTCATAACAAGGTTGAGGAACCACACATGGAAAGTCCTGGAGGAAGAAAGAAGAATCTAGCTTTTTTGAGAAACTGAAAGAATTTCAGCTGGATGAATGAGAATGGTAGCAAATAAAAAAGGAAAGGTAAACTGAGGCTACATTATGAGGAATCATATCTGTGCTAGAGTTTAGGCTCTACCATGTTTGCTGAATGGGCTACTGCAAGACTTTTAAGGGGCATAGCAGGAGCCAATTTGATATGTTGAAAGTTTATTCTGGTTATGAAGAGGAGGATATTCATTCTGGTTTACAAAGGGGCAAGAAGAAAGACGCGTCAAGCCCAGGTTCTGGCATAGGTGACGGGTGAAGTTGGCAACATTTCTCTGAGATAGACATGCTGAAAAATGACCAGGTTTGGGGAGATCAAGGGTATGATCAAGTCAGGTAAGGAAGATGAAGATTTGGAACAGGTTGATTTTGAAATGCCAGTGGAATGACCAAAGGAGAAATCCACCGCATATGGCATGCATAAATCTGAAACCCAGGAGAGCCCTGAGCTGGAGGTACAGATTATGGGGTAGATGAAATACCCAGGAAGAATGGGCAGACTCAGAAGAGAAGACAGCCTAGGACAAAACCCCTAGGAACACCAACATTTAAAGGGTAAAGCAAGGATGGCTGTTGAAGAGACTGATTATGACAGGGTGAAGGAAAATGTGTTTTCAGGAAAGTTACAGAAAGAGCGAGTCACAAAAGAAAAGAATGAGAAACATTACCAAATATTTTTAAAGGTCAAATAAGATAACCATTAAAGAATGTCTAATGATTTAGCAATTAATTGGTCATCAATGACATTAGGACATCAGAAATGGTCATTTCAGTGGAGCACTGGGAGAAACCACATGACAGATCTGTGCTTGGGAACCTGTTTTCTCCTTCCTTCCCTCCCTCCCTCCCTCCCTCCCTCCCTCCCTTCCTTCCTTCCTTTCTTCCTTCCAACCTTTTATTTCTGAAATAATTTAAAACAAGAATTTGTATACCTAACTCTTATATATGCTTCCTGTATATGTTAACATCTTCCCACTGTGGGAAATTATCACTCTTTGGTCTCTTTTAATCTCCTGGAATAGTTCGTAAACCATCCTTTATCTTGCAATACTTTTGTTTTTGAAGAATAGAGGCCAGTTATTTTGTAAAATGTTCCTCAATTTGAATCTGTTTGATACTTCCTCACAAATAAATTCCAGTTAAGTATTCTTGACAGGAATACCATATCCCTCTCAGTGCACACATCTTGAGGCACATGAAGTTAGTTTGTCTTATTAAGGGTGATATTGATTCTGACTACTTGATTAAGGTATGTCCAGGTTTCTCCACTGAAAAGTTACTATTTTTTTTTCTGCAATTATGAAGTTGTTTATGGGGAAACACTTGAAAGGTATGTAAATATTTGGTTCCTCAAACTTTTACCCACTATTGTATTAGAAAAAAATTAAAATGCAAATAATGTTAAAAAAGAAAACATGAACACAGATAAAACAAGAGGAGAGTAAATGAGATAATTTTTTTAAAAACCCAAAGTGCATTATATATATAACAAAGATACTTTTAAAAAATATATATTAAAGTGCTTTTCTATTTTATGTTAAAGCAAAAAAGTCCAGATCCACACTCCTTCTGTCCCCAGTAGATCCCGATGTTGTGAAGC